CTCTTCCCGCGCAAATTCATTACTCGGGGTTCTGAGATGCTAGGAAGCTGAAATTTTAGGGTAATGTTCTCCGTCCAACTAGGTATTAATGCACCCATACCCATCCCTCGGGTAAGCGTGGTATCTGCGTGCGAGCCTGCCAAAATTTTTTTCGGGTAAGTCCATAACTCGGGAATCTGTGAAGCTAGAGAGCTGAAATCTTAAGGGTTGTTCCCTGTCCAAGTGGGTATTAACGAGTTCAAACCCTGCCCGCGGGTAAGCGTGGTACCTTCGTAAAGGCCCGTGAAGGTTCCTTCCGGGTAAGCTACTTACTCGAGAATGTGAGAAGCTAGAAGGCTGGAATTTTGAGGGGATGTTTCCTGACAGTTCTGGCGGCCAGTCAAAATTCTTTCAACTAGAAGCATCTGCCGAAAAAGCCGATTCCGGGTAGCGACAAAAACTGCGGGGCACTCTGCAAAAAACGCATCTTCGCACGGGCAGCCCGTGCGTTGGCCAGTTATTTACCTGTTGTCAAACGGTGGACTGTTGCCGTTGGGCCGACTCTCGCTACGTGCTCCCTCCCTTTACAGACAAAACAGATCACTTCTGCTGTTAACTTTCTCCCCACTGGTATTATTTTCGGCAACTACTAAAACTCGGCTCGACTCGGTTCGGCTCGGTTCGGCCGGTGCGTTTTGCGCTCCAGTGAGGCGTCTGCCATTTCTGGCAACACTATTTCGTATCGCCAGAAGGAAAATCCCCTTGGCAACGTGCCAAGGGAATGGGGCAACGTTGACCGTGCAGGAAGTGGAGGATGGTGACGTGCTGGTGGGTTGGTGCGCAGTGTGCGTGCTTATAATGTGCTGATGACTTGGTGCGCAGAGTGCGTGCTTTTCATGCAAGAAACGGGCGCCGTATGCAAGAAAGCGGTTTTTGCAGACTTCCCCTGATTTTTTGTTTTGTAGCCCTGGAGAAGGATAAGAAGACCCGGAATTGAAAGCGTCAACAGGAGAAGACGAAAAATCTTGCGTTCTAGGTAGAAAATGTATTTCTAAGATAGTAGAGAGGCAGCC